GAGTGATAAAAGAGATGTTTGCCAATTAAACCCACCAAGTTTTTGTGAAGCAAAGGAACATTATTTCTCCTATATCCTGCCTAGAAGCCCAGCGATGCTGATTAATGCGATGTTTGCATAGCACACACAGCCATTTTTAATCAGTTATACTTTTCTGTCCTACAGAATTTACTATATAGAATCTAAAGACTGTCTGTTTCCTCAGTTTTGGTCCTCATATATTTTGTTGGTGGAAAAATTTAAAGATGGGTGGCCCTCTAATTCACATGCATAAGTATTTGAAGGTTTGAGGAATTAATTACATTTAGGTGTAAACTTCCCACACTGTCTTTTAGGCAAAGAAACACTAAAGGATTGCACATAAATTCAGTGACATTATTTGTATTAGTTTCAACAAGCTTCGACTCAATCTCCAAGCTGTTTAGTTTGGATGTTGAACTTGATGTTTGAGGGTAGATCAGGTGAAATTTTGTTGCCATCAAGGGAGTTGGGCTTAAGCCTGAGGCTCTGTGAGACTCATCAAGATCAGGGTAGTTAATTAAAAATCAGGAACACTGATAACAGGGCTTACAGTTGTTAAGAAAAAAAAACAAAAAACACAACAACAAAGACAAACCATGGATCTAACTGCATGCTTTTCCTTGGTGTTTGATATAATTTGTTTCATAAATATTAAAAAAGGTAAATTAGTATTTTTTTAAATCAATATACAACTATACATGGTTATAGCTCAACTTTTGTTTTTTGGGACTATCATGTAATTCATAGAAAACATCTTGTTAAACTGCCATCCTGGTAGGGCTGCTGAAGATTGCACTCCCATGTTTGCAGCTGCAATGCTCCTAGATATAGGAAGACAGATGATTCCACATCTCTTTGCCAGTATCCAAAAAAGGAAGATTGTGCTTTAATACTTGATTAAAATGCTATGGCAAAAATAGCCTTTATCTAGCGCACTTGGATTTTAAAGCTGTATAGTTCTGTTACACCCTAGGGATAAGATTTGAACCATCCCTCCAGTAGAAATTGTGTTGTGGAAGAATTGCATGTGTGTGTTATTTTGCATGCTGTATTAGTGTGCACATGTGAAAAAGGAGAGAGACAAAGAGAAGTAGATTCCAATTTCATCCCCCAGTTCCTGTGCCTGTTCACAGCAGTTAGCCAGGTACACTGTTTCAGCATGGCTAAAGCTACAGCTGCTAGTAAGGTGCTTTTACACATTACCCCTCTGTGTTAATTTAATGCTGTTGTTTTCTCTGTCTACTCCTGTAACACAACAGAAGTACTCTGCTGTCTCTCTCTGCAACATATCTACAGAGGTCCTGAAAGTCATCAATGCCACTGAAGAACTGATAGCAGAATCCACCAGTCCCAGCGATTTCCCAGCTGACACTCAGGACAGAGAAAGAGGGACGTTCCCTCTGGGGACAGACCCAGTCAGACTGGATGAGCAGCTCACAACACTGGAAGAAAACGTAAGAACATGTATCAGTATGTGAAAGTGTCATGTATGTGAATGAGTGCAACTCTGTGTGTGCCAACTGGAAAGGGAAAGCATGTAGGCAGCATCAGTGGATGTTCAGAATTAATTCTGGGTTAAACAGACAAATGGAACAAGTCCTATTTCAGAGGGGTGCTCAGCTGTGGTGCTTGGTGGGTTTTTTTAATGTGTACTTTGAACCCTGTGGAGGAGGAGGAGAGCTGGATGTGTTGGGTTTTACAGTTTTTTAATCTCTATCTCTAGAAGTAACTTAAGCCATGCAAACCTCTGATACTTTGAGACCACCCGGTTGCTTGCTGACACCACAACTCTCCAAGTCCCACTGCAGCCTTATTTTTTTCAGGACAGGTAGGGAAAGCATGTCCCCAGTTCCACAGAGAAGTGAAGGAGCTCTTTCTCCACCCACATTTCCCCAGCACACCACGTTGGGCACTTAGGGAGCTGGAGCTGCCTGCTGCACTGTTAAAATGAGCAGGCTGGAGAAGCCGAATGAAACAAAAGTTTCTGTTTGGCCATGTCTGTATCACCTGTCCTTTTTCATGAGTAATTGTCATCTGCAAAGAAAAGTGTCACGCTGAATCATAGAGGGAAGTCACTACTCATTGGAAAGTTTTATGCACCCACCTAATGGAGTTGGTACACTTGGAACTTTCGATTTTCTCTTCTTCCCACATTTAACTGAATATATTTCAGTGATTCTTCCCTTCATTAGGAGCTTTTAAAGATCTCATAGGTCTCTGGGCTGTCCCATTATAACATCCTAATCAATTAAAAAAATAGATAATTGGTTTTCTTTAGCCACTGGAAAATTTTTAAAGATGGAATCTCTTCTTGGGGGATAAAATCAGTTTTCTTAACAGAAATGCATTTCCATAACAGCACCAGGCGAGGAACTGAGGAGGAGGTAATTCATGGCAATGCCAGCCACTCCTGCCACTGAGTCTGTCCTACTCCAGAGCCTTCATACCAGTCCTACAACTCACCAGTCCCTCTCATCACACTTCTGAGTTCAAACCTCCCAGCCCTGCTTTGGTTCAGAGGTTCCCAAGCTAAATCCTATCCCTCCTAACCACAGCTTCTCCAAAACCTTTTCCATCTCAGACATTTTCCTCCTGCCCACACCAACAGGGTGCCCTCCAAACCACCCCAGAGCACCTTCACCCCTCCTTATCCAGCTCCCAGTCATAAACTAATCTCCAAACCTCTACTTCCCACCTCTGCTCAGCCTTCACAGACATCCCACTGTTCCAGCTTCTCTCAATTCCCTGAATAATCTTTAAGGTACTTAGCTCAGCCTTGCTGTGTCACCACACTATATCTTTCTCTGCCCCACGTGGGATTTTAAATAGATGGCAGAACTTCATTGTTTCAAGATTTCACCACCATACTCCATAGCAGAGCCTTTAGAAATCCAGGAATCTGTAATTTTCCCAATGCAGCTGGGGGCATATCTGCATGCAGCAAATTTTGGAAGAGGATCTTGGTATATCTAGACATTTTGTTCATTTTTTGCTTTGTTCATTTTGTAGCATTTTGAGGACTGTGCACATATCCGTAGGGAGAATGTAAGGCCACCTGTACCAGCACAGATCGGGAGGGTTTTAGCAGACGTGTGTACCCAAATGGTAGTAAAATAAGTCTCTATAATCCAAATGTGAGCATATGCATAAGGCTATAATTTAGTGGAGACCTGCAAGTACTTCAGTGCTGTTTGGAAGCACAACAGTGTTCAGGTAATGAGAATATTCTTTAGAAAAAAATATTTTATTTGGATTTAGCTGAAAAATGTTCAAAAAAACTGAAATTCAGCAAATGTAGGGGCTGATTAAGTTACAAAAACATTGATGTCCCACATTTTTTTATCAGTCCTGTTTTCTTTAGATTTGTTTTCCCCCTCTTGAAAAGTACAGCTTCTTGTGCAGCAAATTTTGGCACAGCACTTAAATGCATCTTTTCTTTCATTTTCTAAAGATGCTTCTGTTTATAACATCCCTTTTCTTCTTTCTCCCATGATAGGGAAATTTTTTTTAAATCACCTTTTAATCTGAAGTGCCTCTGGTGTGTCGCACCAGAGGGATGTATCATTTAAATGAATTAAAAGAGCAATTAAAACCCACAAAAGCAGAGGCATTTCTATTTAAAACAGCATGTTGACTTCATGGTCCACCTGTGCCTCCAAGTACTTCAGCTGTTAAAGGGATCACTTATTTGTTCTAGGTGCATTTTTCAAAGATTTGATGCCTGCAGTCAATAATAGAATTAAAAAATAAAGTAAAGGAGGCGGGAAGAGTTTTGGCTGCTGTATATTTGGTTGAGAGCATAATGGGATAAAAAACTGTTGCACATGTAAGCACAGTTACTCTATAAGAAGTAAACAACCATGTGCTGCTGAACAGTTATTTTCACAGTTTTGTTTGCCAGAAGGCATTAGGTGTGTTTCAATAAACACAGTATTATACGAGGTGTGATCTGTTGACTTCACTTTGTAGATTTCAGAGTTTTTGTTGTGCAATAGCATATCAAAAATTTAAAAGCCAACTTGTCCACTTCCTTTGTTGTGCTGGTGAATCTGGAACAAATCTCTTCTGCAACACCATTGTAACGCCTATGAAATCTGGAGTGCAGCCACCTCACACCTCCCTTCTCTTTGTGGATGTGTGTTTTCGGGTTATTTTTTCAGATTATTCCCTCATGACTTTCCTCTGCCAGGTAAGTCTCCCTACAGTGGGTTAGCAAGGAGGGAAGCTCAAAGGCATCATGAAAGATGCAGTCTGTTCAAACATCCATCCCAAAAAGCAGCAGTGACAGCTCTCCCTGCCTTGGCCCTGCAGGTGTACCTGACCGCCGGCACAGTGTACGGGCTGGAGGGGCAGCTCACCAACCTGGAGGACGCCGCGCGCAAGATCAACAGTGTTACTGCAGAGTCTGAGCTGGCCGATCTGGAGGATCAGGTGGCAACAGCAGCCGCCCAGGTTCACCATGCAGAGCTTCAGGTGAGGACAGCCACTCCTCCCCACCTGCAGCTTTCACACCGCCTTGCCCAGCGCTTGCCTTTTGCCTATGCACACTTACTTTTCATATTCTTTTGTGCCGCAGTGGATCGATGAGCCGAGGATGCTGCCTGCATCGCAGGAGCTGAGCACAGCCTAACTGAGATGCGTTAACTCAGCCCAGCCAGATGTGCTGTGCTTTTTTGCCTCTTCCTCCAGCTCATTTTCAGACATGGGACTGCAGCAGCCCAGCAGTGCAGTGCTAATCCTGAACCTGCTCTTGGTGCCAGGCAGCTCACATGGTGCTTCCCATGCCATGCACGTGGCTCTGGCCGGACTGCAAATACAGTCTTAGGCAGTTTATCTAATCAGCAGGTTGTACAGCACTTTCTAAAAGAAGCCAGTGTTGCTATTGTTCTGCCCAAAGAGGCCAAGGGCAGCCAGCCACCTGCAAGGCTGCGCTGGGATCTAACTGGACACGTCCCAGCCAAAAGGCAATTGCTCTTGTGGACTGCGATCTAGTGTCTCTCCGGTGGGTTCCAGAAAGTCTGGAGCTCAGAAAAGAACATCATGATCTGGTGCTAAATGCTGAATGAGGTAACGCTGCCAAACCTCGAGGGGATAATGCTGCCAAACCTCAAGGCAGTTACACTGCCAGCAACTCACTGCCAGTGATTTCACTGACTGCTCAGTTCCAAAGGAGGCACCCTGACTTTCCCATGCCAGGCTTTAATGGGAAGAACCTAGTCATTTTACTGAGCAGTAGCATGCTCAATGTAGGACTGAGCAAAGATCCAAGAGTCTGACATCTTGCTGATGTCAGAAGTGCACTGCTGCACTAGATGGCAAACAGCAGTGACCTTTTGTTGGCTTCAGTCATTATTTTACGGTGAATATGTTAATGGGGGTGAGACGTGAGGAGGAGAGAGGCCTAAACTATGCAAGGAGGATGGCAAAGAGGCTTATAAAGGTCTTCTGTAGAGTTCACAGTCTCAGGTGTCATCATGAATCAGGAGCTGGGTTATGTCTGACTTCTCTGATGCTTGTTTCCCTTCTGTTTTTCCTAGCAATTTGGTTTCCATTCAGTGTTTTATATACTCTGTACCTGCATTTATGTATGTTTGTGTTTAACACACAAATACACTTAACTTATGAATATTTAAGAACAAATGTTTAAATTGTGTAATAGAGGATGTACTTTGCATGTGCATGAAATTAATTTTGAATTAGGAAATGTCTCCCACAAAGTCATTCTTCAAATGTCCCCTTTGAAAATCACAGCTTGAATGAACTTGGGCTTTTGCAGCTAAAGGTAACTGGGAGATGGCAGATGAGGTTTTTCTCTCCTCCTTTCTTTTTTTCCTCAAAAGGAGTAAAATGCCTGTTCCTTGGAGTCACATGGTAGGTTGGATTGTTCTTTTACTCCATGTTTACTAACAAATTAAGCCTTTTTTAACATCAGGACTAAAGAATACAGGCAAATGTCAGAATTGCTGAAGAAGTTAGCTATCTGTTAATAGTTTTTGGTTGAAGAGAATTTGACTGGGGGAGGGATATATTTTAGTAGTGGCATCCACAGTAATTTTAAAACTTCTTTTTCCCCCTCCCCATCTGTCTGTCTCTTTCTTTTATTTTCTTTGAAGATTTCAGATATTGAGAGCAGAATATCAGCTCTCACTGTTGCAGGCTTGAACGTGGCTCCATGTGTTCACCTGACAAGGAAACGGAATCAAAAGCAAACAAACCAGGTGCCAGAACATTATGTAGTATTCAAAAATACATTGGGGAAATATTGCCTCTTTTTCTGTAATGGAGTTGAGTAACACCTATGTGTTGTTTACAGATGCATACAATAGACACATCAAGACAGCAGAGGAGAAAACTTCCAGCTCCACCAGTAAAAGGTGCACTTCAGTTGTTACATACACGATAGTCTCCCTTGATAAGGTTCAATGACATGTATAGTTCAGCAAAGTAGGGGAAAGATTAATTTATACCATGAGCAGAGAAAGCCAAAATATGTCCATTCTTCTCATTTTCCTTTGTACTTGCACTGTATAAAATAACCATTTGTCACATTAAAAAGCATCACCACTTTCTCTTTCCGTGGAAGCTGTGACAGTGGCAAACTAATAGGAGCAGAAACAAAAGGCTGGGAAAACAAATGAAAAATGTCCTGCAGCAGGGATGCTGCTACTCTGGCATGCCTGGGACTAACCTGTGAGACCCAAACAGTCACAGAGTTTACTTACCAAAAGCCAGTTGTCACTCTCCACAACCTGCATTTCTTTCTTTAAGTCTATGTCTGCTGGTTTCAGTCCATATGATGTGGCTCAGCAATGTGCTGAACATGCTAGGGTGTGGCTGTGAATTGGCTTTATAAAATAAAGTGCTTTACTCTTTTGTGTTTTCTCTGGTTTTTTAGCCCTACAGTGTATTATCTCTGATGATCCTAGGGCCTGCTTCACCTTGCATTACTCTTGTTTTACTCTTGTGTAATTCCAGTGATTGACATCTCCTCAAAATTTAATACATTTGGAGTATTGCACCCTGCTAGTTTCCATTTAAATTAAATCCAGTTTTCCTCATAAATCTTAGGGGAAAACACATCTCTCTAGAAGTTTTTACTCTTCAGGAGTATTCTTGCATCTGCTTCAGTCTGTTATGTGAAAACTCTCCCTTTTTGTATTTTTCCTAGATGAAAAAATAGATGGTTCTCCAGTTACCACTGTCAGAACGTTTAACAGAAACTTCATGCTTCAAGGATCTCTAACACAAAGAGCTAAAGAGAGGAAAAGCACTGCCAAGGACTTAATGGTAAACTCATAACAAATGTTTTTAAGACTGCTGTCAAAGCAGTAAATAGAGAGATAGTGGTATCTGTGTAGGCAGCTATATTTCAGCATCTTCACAAAACTTCTCTTAATATTTTGAGGTAAAAGCACAGAGACCACTGAGGCAGCTCTGAACAAATAGGACCAGTGTTCTCGTAGTGCTCTACCAGTGTAGAGCTACCAAGCTTGTGAAGGGTCTAGAGAACAAGTCATAGGAGGAGCTGCTGAGGGAACTAGGGGTGTTTAGTTTGGAGAAGAGGAGGCTGAGGGGAGACCTCATTGATCTCTACAACTACCTGAAAGGAGGCTGTAGTAAGGTGGGGGTTGGCCTCTTCTCCCAAGTAAATGACAAGACCAGAGGAAATGGCCTGAACTTGCAGCAGTGAAAGTTCAGATTGGGCATTAGGAAGAATTCCTTTACTGAAGGAGTGTTCAGGCACTGAAACAGCCTGCCCTGGGAGGTGGCTGAGTCACCATCCTTGGAGGTGTTCAAGAAACATGTAGATCTGGCACTGCGGGGCCTGCTCTAGTGGCCAAGGTTGTGATGTTTTCTGTGGGTGTCATTTGGTGGTGTTTGTGTTTGTTTGAGGTTTTGTTCTGTGAGCGGTTTTTGTGGGAGTTTTTTTTGTTGGGTTTGTTTTTGTTTGTTTTTTTTATGATGGCTGGAGTCATTGACCACAGAGGTCCTTTCCAACAGCAACTATTCTGTGGTTCTTGGAAGCATATGACTATATGCCATAGTACAGCAGCTGTGCAGTCCTGAATGTCAGCCTGTATGAATGTGTACTGGCTGTCAGGTCTCCAGGAATGTGCTACCTGTAGTTAAAAAACCAAACCAAACCAAAATACAAAAAAAAAACAAACCACAAAACCAAGCAAAGACAAGTAAATGTGTGGTCCCCTGCAATTCTGACTTCTGAACTAGACCCTCACAGAAATAGCTGCAGGCTGTAAGTCAGCAGGTGAGAGTCACCTGGAATCTTGCTAATGTTTGAGAAATGTTCAAAGGTTACCTAAGTGGAATTTAAGGGGCAGACAGGCCATGCATTGGCTCTGCAGGGTTTGAACAAATAGGCTTCACCATGCAGCTGTCAGTCATTGTTTCTAGAGCAGCTGTGGAAAGATAAGGAAAAAAGCTCACTCTCCCAAAGCAGTCTGCCACTAGATAAGTGGAAAATCAGCAAGGGAGTGAGAAGAGGAAGGATGTGGCTTCCTAGAAGCTTCAGAAAGCTTGTGTTTTGCTCATTCTCTTTTCTTTCCTGTCCCTCTCTGTTCTAGGAACCTGCTATAGGATCTGCTGTGATGTACTAAACTTACACTTCCCTACTGCCAATAACACACTGCCTAAGGCTGTACACTCGAGTGCCTTTACTTAACAGCCATTGTGTATGTCCAGCTGAAAATGGACCCTCAAGAACCCACAATGCCTCAGTTATAGGGCTTCGTTTGGATACCTCACTGAGAAAGCTGTACAAGTCTTCAGCATTGTGGTCTGCTACAGGAAACTCTGCCTTAAAGTTCTCATTAGACTCTAGAAAGGATGCTGAGTTTCAAAAGCAAGGCTCCACATTTTAAGATGCACTTTTTCTCCCCATTGATTGTACTAAAGTATGTCGTCTTTAAACTGCAGTATGTTTTTGTAGACTCAGTCAATCAATTCTAGGCCAATATTTGGTAACGAAAGAAAGAAAGAAAGAACAAAGCAGACCTGTGATCTATATTTCCTGGCCTCTTACTATTCATATAGGCATCCACCTTGTCGAGCAATAAGAAAAACTCCATGCTGTGTGTGCTGTTTTTCAGCTGCATGGTGGGAATGGAGAATCAGCACACCTAGCTCTGCTCCCAGCAAGTCAGGGGAAGTTTTGACAGGGGTTTGTAGAGGGAGATATGATGTGCCAAGGCTTCTCTGTTCACTGAGGGTACTTTTGGCAGAGTTAATGTTCTAGATCTACAGCTAGGTATTTTGCTTCTGGAAGCAGGGGGAGCATGGATGTCATGTTGAACCATGAATTGGTGGCATCACATGTGGACCAGGTGTCTGCTGAGTTACAATCCTGGCAGCTGAAAATAGCTGAACACTGCTGTGAAACCCACAGCTTTGTATGTCTCATTCTTCTTGGTAGCATTGTCCGCTTGGTGGTGTCCAACCACAAAGTAGTTCAGAGTAAATTCTGACAAAATCTTTCAGATTGGAAAAGGAAAATAAAAGCTTGGGGATGGGGATGAGTTCTCTGCTGACTGGTTCGTGGTTGTCGGGAGGCTGCAACCTGTAAGAGACTTCCTCCTGCAGTTTCCTGGCTTTTCTGAGGAGGGAGAAAATGTAGCCCGGATGTCTCTTTCTTTACTAGTCTGTAGACAAGGTGGAGTATCTGGGGCTTGTCACTGGTAACATGTGCACCCCACTATCATTGGACCACTCTGAATTGGACAGTGAACAGTAAAATTGATTATTTCATTTCTTGAGACCTTTGAAAGGTGAGTCAAACTGGAAGTCCCATGAGTAGATGCCCAGGAGGGAAGATGCTGCTTACAGGGTGTCCCTCTTGCCCTTTTAAGGGAGGACCTTGCCTGCTTCTTCTCCTGTGCTCCCAGTGAACACCCATTAGCAGAGGGCTGCACATTTCCTGCCATGTGGCAGGAAAGCAGTCCTCTGGGACACTAGGCCACGCAATATCTATGATTGGGCAAATAAGAGCAAAACTGGGCAAATTTCCTGGCTAGGCTGCGTTTCCAGGGCCAGGTGAGGAAGGTAAGGAATGTCTGGATGGGATGGTTGGAAAATTAGTTCCAGTTGCAAATCTGCACCCACATTTGACATTGAGCTTGTGAGTAAACTGATGACCAGCTGCATGTAAGGAACCCTCAGAATAAATGCAATCATCTTCCTACGTAGAATACATAAACATCATTCAGTCCCAACAGGGAATTGCCGTCTGGCCAAGATCTGATCCCATGTGTTTATTCTGGGTGAAATTATGCCACCTTTTACTCTCACACAATACTAGTTCTCTGGAATTAGTTTGCACAGATGTGAGGGTAGAATTTGGCCCACTCTGTTTAATATACACACATACGTAGAAAACAAATAGATTTTATTTATATATGCAATCCAGTAAAGGAAATTAAACAGAGTAGGATGCCTAGTAATTTTTTTTTTTTCTTATCCAGTCTCCTCTCCCTCCCTTGACTGTCCTTGTGTATGTTCAGCACATTCCCAGGTTCTGGTTTATGCAGGTTTGCGTGTTATGAAATGTCATTAATGGTGGTTGGTCTAGATATTCGTCTAATAAATAATAACTAATATTGTGTATGTAATATCAATACAGAAATGACTAATTTTAATAGGCTTTTGTTCTGTTAGTGTGATTTAAACAAGCCAACAAAGTTTGGAATAGGTTGTTTTCCTTAAGAGGCATGAAAAGCAACTATTATCGTGTTATCGTTAAAATATTCCGTCTTCTTTGACAGAAAACTGTGTATTGTGTAGGCATTGAAAAAAAAAAAAAAAGAAAGAAAAAAAAAATCCCACCTGCTATAAGGCATTTGAATTTTTACAAATGTTTATTGTGCCAAATACATGCAGAGATATAATTTACTGTTTTAAAAAAATCATAAACCCATATGTTATAGCACACAAAGAATTATTTTGTCATCGAGTGATTTCAATCTTTAGTGTTAATATTTATATTTAGATTAATTTTTATAAATGAAGATATTTTAATGGGTAAAATGAAGACTATATGATCTATTTGATTAAGTCTGAGTGAATATTAAGCTTGCCTTGTTGTTGTTATCTGCATACTCACCGAGAATTATTGTCAAGAGAAATTATAGAAGAGTAAAATCAATTTATGAAAAGAATGCCTTTTAAGGACTCGTTTCATAAAGAAAAACCAAAATCCCTTCTCTGTTGTTTGCATTTATGTGCACGTCGGTCAGGAAGCGTGCAGAGCCTGCTGCTGCACACAGATCTCGGGTCCTGCCCTAAACCCAGGAGACTTGCAGCTCTGCAGGATTACCTTGGTTAGCTGAGGGGAGGAATACATGTTAACCCACTCGGTTTAGATTTTTTTTCCACTGGGCTGTGGGTGGGATCCTGTCCGGAATATCTGATGGTTAGTTTTCTCCAAACTGTCCGGCCAGCTGGGCAAAATACTGTCTCTAACGGAACTTCACGGGCTGAATTTCTGTAACTCTCACTTGGATTTGCTACAAAATTACAAAGTGAGCAAGAACCCTGCTGGTTATCTTAGTTCGGTATTTCCAAAGTCAAAGTGTGTTGAATGCCAATCAAAATATGTTTTATCACTGTATTTTCTCCACTATGAGGGCGTTCATTTAAACTAGCATGTTTTAAGGAACAATTTGTGTGTTATAGGTTTTATTATAAAAAGGAGTAACTACCTTATTATAGTAAAAATCCACTCCTTGCTGACAGACCATTGCAAAGAAAAAAAAAAAGGTTAAATTATCTGCAATGACTAATTCCACCCAACTATGAAATATTGGTAGTAATTCTAACAAAGCACAACTAGAAATGCAAGTTCATTATACTTTCTCTTTTGCAGAATGATTCATGGCCTGGATTTACCCATCAGTCATTAGCTAAATTGTAAACTCTTTTCTGGCTATAAGCCATAGATTAAACTGCATTCAAATGTTATTGCTGGTAGTAGTTATTAAGATTAAACATACTGTAAATAATACTTCTAATAAAAAGAATATAACAAAGTTAATTACCATGGCAACATGAGTGTTGGGCCACAATCCCAGGCTTATTGATGGGGACTAATGGAGTAGATACTGCTTGTCATCCTCAAAGAGGGACTTTAGCTTGATCAGACAACGTACTTCCCAACAACTACATTGTTTTAAAGGCAATCAACCAGTTTAGGCCCCTATCCCTTTTAGATAATGGTGCATGATTACACGTAGTAGGCACAAAACTACTCCAGAAAGTTTAATTAGCCATTTTTTTTAATTATTTTTTTTCTTCAGCTGGGAGAAAATACTTCTCTTTCCTCTTTGTTCATTAATAAGCTCTCTCTAGCAGTGCAGGAAGAATCACAAAGAGGCGCAGTGGGTAATTCAGGGCTACATTCTTATGAGTGGATGTTAACGATCTATATGAAAACTACACACAGAGCACCAGCATTTCATGCCATTAATGCAGATACATTAACAATTCGTGAGAGCCTTTTTCTTCCAACCATTGCTTTTTATTTTTACATGTTAACAGCCATTGATTTTGAAATATGACAGGAAGCCTTTGTGATATGTTTAACACTGCAGAGTTGAAATCCCAGCAGAAAGGCTGTGCAGTTTTGGAATAAACTTAACATTACAGTGAACATCATCAAGGGATTGGTGGGGACAGAGAAACATTTTTATAAGCTATGGTTGCACTTAGCACTAGTGTCCATGCATTGTCTTTTGCCTGCACCCTGTATATGTGTCTTTCTGGAGGAACTTGCACAAGGACCAGAAGGAAGAGCAGCATGGGATTTCTAGGCAAAAGCAGAATTGGCAGCCTGAGGTGCAGGGAAGGGCAAAACAAAAAGAGCAGAGGTTGGGTCACCACCTCGGGAAATGGGGATCACCAGTCATTATCTTCTGTCTCTGAGACTTTTTCCTTCCATAAAGCATTCAAGATAAAATCCAGCTGCTTGCTCACAGGCCTCAGGCTGCCGTGGCTGCTTCTCAGCTGCCTCTTTCCAAACCGACCGATGGGGCGAACACCACGGCCCACGTACCAAAAAGGATCAATCTCAGGACCTGGAATTCAAAACAGTCAGCAAAGTTATCTATCCATCACTGTACTTAAAGGCAGCATTTCCTGAACAACTTGAAGGTGTTAGATGGCCTATTTGTAGCCCTCCTGAAAACAAAAACGCAAGGGGAAAAGCTGCACCTAGACAGCACAAGTTTCTGGTGCCTCTGAGGGTCACCTGTCATGAGTAGAGCCCAAAGGAAGGGGAGGGCTCAGATGCTCAGATCTGGGCTGCAACCTGAACATATGCCAAAGTACCCAGCAACTCAAGAGGGCACAGTGTGCTTTAAAACTGATCAGAACCTTGGAAGAGGTTACAATGCAGCCTGTGTCCAGAAAGGCCAAAGTAGCTCCCTGTACCACCACTTTTAGGCTGTTCTCAGTGAAAGACCTAAAGGTCCCACTGTCCAGCCTCCATTTCTGCTGTATGCACCAGGTGTGTTATCTCTACAGGCTAACAAATCCACTCGACTGCAGAGAGGGTTCTTACATGACAGTCAAAGATAAAAAGCTAATTGTTGTTCACTGAGGAATTTGTTTTCATGGATGACTTTTTTTCTTGTGATGCATCTGAAGGACACTTGACTTATTTTTATATTCTAGTTTTAGAGCAGGTCTGGAGAGGGGTACAGTTCTATTAAAAGACAAAGATAAAACATCAGGAAAAATCTACAGAGTGCTGGAGGTGATGCCACGTCAAGGAAATGCCAAATCATTCCAAAGCTGGATGAATGTCAGGAGCCAGAATAAATTTCAATTTAAGTGCATTATGTAGCATCCAAGCCTTGGGCAAGGCAACAGGATTTTCCCCTCTGCATTTTCATGCTTGAACAGAGAAAATAAAAAATCCCCTTTGTCTGTGAATTTCTCCATCAATACATCTGGTAAGTCTTTCCACACAGTATTTAACAGTTCTCCAGCCCATCAAAACCCAAGTACTTTCATTGTTTTTCACCTGGGTTCCTAAAAACGGAGGCTCCACACCTCCCTAGTTCTCCTTGAGAGGGGAAAGGTGTGCCACTGAGAGCCCACCTACCTTACTCCCCACACCCACCTCTCTCCCACTCCACATACAAGTATCAGCCTTTGTTCTTTGGGGGAAGATGAGATTTCTTGATAAAGATTTTCTCAAATATCTTTTGGACCATGTGTTAGCTTTTACTTGGAATATATGACATTGTCCTTTAACTGGCCAGCCTCAGTTCCACACAGCCTCTGAATGGAGACACTTCAACAACTTAAATTTGCCTTTCAGGAAATTCATGGTTCCAGACAGAAATGAAGACATCTGTAAAAAAACAATTTTCTGCCCCTTGCTTTCTTTTTACTCTACAGAAGTGATTGTGAGCTACCCTAGGTCTCCAAAACACAGCTGAAAATCTGATGCTTAAATATTCCAAGTACACTGTCTTGCACTTTCTTTATCAGTCTTTTGTACATAAGTGTCTATCTCCTCTGATCTTTATCAAAAGTTACACTATTTCTCTTAGCTAATTAAAGGCTGTGAGAAAGAGATTCTGTACGTGCTCTTACAAGTGTAAATGGAAGAACAGGATCCCACACCCCCATTTTACCACAGAAACACCCGCATGGATTTGCTGCTGAGCTTTGTCCGACAGTCTGACCCCGATCCCTTGGTGCACCTGAGACCGCAGGGTCACCATATGGGAGCCCAGCGCATCACATCAGGTGAGCCTCATACTTACTTCTGTTGTCTATCTGATGTTTAAATGGCCTGCTCTGTCCTGAAGCAAAGCTGAGTGACACCAAGAGCACCAGCACGTAGACAGTGACCAGCTTTAAGTGCTTGGGTGACCACTGGGCACGTGGTGTCCATGAGATCGGATGCCACATGGTGGAGCGGTGGTGGGAATGCTGTGAGGAGGAAAGTGAACATGGGGAACACATATTAGTTAAAGCTCTCAAGATGGAGGAAGGTGTCAATTGTAACAGCATGTTCATGACTAACTTCTGTGAAGCACTGATGCTGGGGATGTGCTATGGATTTGAAGGCAAAGGCTCTGCAGTGAGCCACCTTACTGAGGTAAGGCTTGCAACTTGAGTATTTTCTCACAGCGAAAGCCCCTTGTACAGCTTCAGAGAACACATGAATCCTGGTCCTGAGCTTGCTGCTGACTTTCTGTGTGGCCCTCTGTGTGAACATAGGCATTGGCCAAAAGAGTGTGTTTTAGCCACTACTTTCATCATCCTTTGCTCACTTGTAAAATATATCTAACATTTGCATTTTACACAATTATAAAAAATAGAGACCTGTTGGAGAGGGTCTGGAGAAGGGCCACCAAGATGATCAAAGGCCTGGAGCTCCTCTGCTATGAAGAAAGGCTAAGAAAATTGGGGCTGTTCAGCCTAAAACAGGGAAGGCTCTCCTGTAGGCCCCCTTCAGGTACTTAACCCTGAGTATTCAGTGAAGGTTTCTCTTTTCTTTTTTACTTTTTTTTGAACACCAACAGTCACTCAGCAGACAGCTTAAGAGGAAAGTGATTTTAACCCATAATTTCAGCAAAACTGAGAATTAACTTTTTCTAACTTGAATATCTCATAAGAATCAGGACTAAATGACCCTCACATGTAAAGCCAAGTGGGATGAGCTCTGCCTCCAGTTTCAGCTGGTGTATATCTGTTGTTGCTCCATGTTTGGCAAAAAAACAAAAAAGGAATCTCTCCAGTGTGCTTGCAGGGTTGGTGACAGGTTTTCCAGATTAGCTGCTGTCTGGTTCTGTGTCTTGTTTTTTCTGGGAACTGAGTGACAGAAAGGAAGTGCTTGCCTTGAGCCCATTGTTGATGAAAGAAAAAAAAAAATAATAAAGGGAAAAGCTTTTAACACAAGTTTTTTCCTAAGCAGTGCTGTGTCTAAATCTCCTCCTGATTCTGTGCCTTCATCAGCCATTCTGGCCACCTTCCAGAGTGACAGTATTTCATAAAAACACAGAATGGTTGGGGTTGAAAGGGACCTTAAAGATCATCTAATTCTAACCCCTCTGCATGAATAGGGACACCTCCCACTAGACCAGGTTGCTCAAAGCCCCATCTAATCTAGCATTGATTATACGACCAGATTATTAGAATGTATTGAACCTGTGCTTATACTTTTGACCTGGCTAGGATTTCTGTGAATCACACAGCTCCCGCTGCTCCTCAGTAAGTGACATGCTACCCCTAAATAATCAGGGGGCTCAGCACCTCCAGTCCTCTCTCATTTTTCATCCTAGTTGTCCCACCCATATGCATGGGGAGAAACGGAGGCACAGATAATGCCACAAACTTGACCCTGCGTGATGCTGAGCATTTCTAACTCCAGAATAAGCACAGAATCCCACTAACAGCCCTCTCATGAGTAATGGGGCTGGGCGATGGTCTGTGATCTCCTCAGGTCCAGACCTACCTTAGCCCACAGCCCTGCAGCTTTTGTCCAAAGGGAAAATTAAAAAAACCCAAGACCTTATACAGTCAACCTGCATTTGCCCTTTGTTTCCAACATGATCACCAAAAAATTAAAAAACCTTTTAAAACCACAAAATAGGACACAATTAAAAGCTTCAGAAGTATTTTTCTCCTGGAGCTGCCAACTTTGTCAACTTCCCACTTCTGTTTGGTCCCTAAGCAGAAAGAGCCTTTCAATTTTGGCCGAGTAACATTTGTGACAGTGGTCTGGCAATTTTCATCAGCATGAGAGGAGAAAGTTACAGCACATTAAAGCCACTGCTAAAGTTACAGTGAAGCAGTGCTATCACAGCTTGCTGTGGATCTTCCTCACACAGGCAGTGGGACACCAGCCTGGCCCTCCCTCTGGGCACACAGGGGCTCTCAGCACACCGAACTCTAGCTCTGCTGCACATCTATCAGGTCTAAACCTACCGTGGATGTCCTCAGAAAGACAAGGTGCTAGTAACTCTTTAAACCCTAAGATAGCATCTTGAGATCAGTGGCTGTGTACCCCCCCTCCAAAGCAAATGTGAATGGCTTTCACATTTGAAAGCAGCATTAGAACTCCCCACAAAGGATCAAACCCCAGGTGAATCCAGGCCTGGGACCGTGGCTCATTTCAGGGCTAAGCAGCACAAAAGGTGCACTTTTTGTGCAGGTGATCTCCCTGCAGGGGGAGATCTCACTGCAGCTGGGGTACAGCCTGGCCTGTGGGTTCAACCATGTTGCCTTAACATGGTTTCCTTCACTGCAAGAACTGGGGAAAAGTTACTGAGCACAGAGCACAGCTGTGTACATTAATGTAGAAAAGCTAAAGCCCAAAAAAGAAATTCAGCAAGAGCCAGGACAAGTGCTGAAGTATCTAGAGGGAGGCACTCACCTGCTTCCACCAAAGCTGTTCCTCGGGTAGCCACTGCTCCAAGCAGAAGCAGGGCAGAGCTGGGGGCTTGTGCCTTTTATATTGGAGAGAAGTGGGCTTGAGAGGGAGGGGGAGTCAAGAGGTGGGCCAGAAGGACGTCAGCACTAGTAGTGAGCAAAATTTAAATCTACAATGGGAGGGGAAGAGGACTGTGGCTCTTAGAGAAAGCCACTCATCAGGGCAGGGAGCAGGATCTGAGGACAGCACCAGGGGATTGAAGGGGGGGGGCTTGCAGGACACCTGGATGAGGTCCCCTGGTCCACCAGGAGGGGAGGGGGCTGCTGCCATGTCCCTATGGATGGGGGGATACAGGCAAACCAGAGCAGCACCACCTGCCACACTCTCCGCACAGGAGAGCCCAGGTCTCCACGCCATCTGGCTGAGATGCTCTGTAGGATCTGCTGGGGATGAGGTGTGGGGTGAGAGAGGAGATGGACAGTGGGAAGCTCTCAGTGCCACGAAGCTCTCAGTGCCAGCAAGCTGCGGCAGCCAGAATACATGCCCACTCCCCACCCCTTCTGATCTTGCTGTCATTCTGCCTGTTTTTTGCTTAGGATCTCACCTGACTGCAGCTGTGGTCCCATTAAGCCCCTACCTCATGGCTGGGGTCAGCTCACCTATGCATAAGTTTTAGGCCATCCTGCAGCACAGCATCTAAGTATTTTATGAAATCAGTTGTGATTCAGTGCGTAATCAGGTGCTTACTGGTTTTGTGGCAAAGAAAATTTCATCTCGGTGAGACTAGTATCTCGAGCAGTGTAGTATTTTACCACAGGCATCTCTTCTGTGCAGCTATTTTTAACACTGTCTCTTGACTAATGTGTCATGCACTCTTGCTGTTACAGCTCTTGCTGCTTTAAGAGCCAAGACTGTTCTTACCATGAAGGCTTACAGAGCAGCAGCAGTCCGACTGGCAAGGTGTTCCACTCCTTCAGCACCATCCTGCAGACAGGCTGAGATGTGAAGCATTGCTGGGCTGCCCAGGGACCACAGGCTCTCCTGCAGACATCTTTGCAGACACAGGTTTCTGCTCCAGCCATGGTAAGACTGATTACTTGAAGAAACAATTTTTAAAGCTGTGCTTAGAAGAGGCAGCTCTGAGGTTGGACATGATGATCTTAAGGTTCTCTTCCAACCAAAACAATTTTATGATTCTGTGAAATGCTGTAATCCCATTAGAACGAAGCGGAAATTCAATAGCAAATCTGTTGTTTAGTTGTCCTATAAAGGTGTTTTAAACTGGGGAACCTTGAAGTATTAGTAACATTATTTCACTGCAACTACCTTCCAAAAGAAATCAGACCTTCCCCCACACCCCAGGGCAACTTGTGGTGTACTTGTATAAGGAAGTATGATTGAAATTTTGCCTGACTCTGCCCTTACTCAGTATCCAGATGACACCACCACTACTAGTAAGGCATGAGCACTAATTGTGATGATTAAAATAAATTTCTCATTTATGTGTAATAGTTTGCTCTATGGGGACACACATGAACACAAATGGTAAAGAAGCCTGAGAAATACTCTTCCAATTTCCACCTCGTAACAGCTAAAAGTGTCTTGCTCATCCAAGTCTTCAAGAGTTTGCTCAGACTACTCAGGATTACAATTGCAAAATATGAAGAGCACTTCAAGTCCAGGATAGCACAAAAGGTCTTTCTACAGCCAACATAATCAATAATGTATATACACGCTTTCTTCAGCAACCTCCTTGTAGCGTGTTCCCTTTGAACCTTGCAAATGCTCCCTACCTAAAAATCAATCTGCATCCAAGAACCAGGCAGTGGCTGTGCTTCTGCTGTGCTAATTTTGTTTGCATGCGTGGAGAGGGTATCTTCTTAGTAAATACAACCTTTCGTGTTTTTGCATCACAGATCCTTGCCCTTGATTTTGACCAGCAAATGGGGTATCCTTTCTTGATTTCTAATGAACAATCACTGGAGTGAGGGCGTTTTCTCTTCAGAATATGTAGGATCCTGTCTTGTTTTGCTGTTTTTCTAAGTGATCTCAACATCCTACAACAGAAGTAATAGCCATCTTCACCCCATTTAGTCTTTCTAGTCTTGCTGGCACTGCAACATGAGCCTCTCAGTAGCACAGCCCATTTTCACCAACTGACATCTACAGGGAAGTTACCGGATAAAATAAAAATGTGCAATGTTTTCACGTTAACATGGTTTGCCTATTGGTGAATGCTGCCTGCAAAATGATATGCCATAAAGATAAAAATACAAAAGATAAAAATTAGGACAGCCAACATTTAAAATGTTGTAGCATGATCAGCTGCCTCCACTCAGGCTCAAGGTCCATCTAATACAGTATCTTGGTTTTGATGGCAAAGAAGTAAAGAAATGTGTATAAACAGGACAGCATATTTTGACATTCCCCACATAGATATTCTCCCAGGCCCCTGAGATTTGTGGTCCAGAGGCTTCCAAGCCAAATTGATCTTTGCTATAGGAACCCCTTAATGGATTTCTTTTTCTTCACATTTTCTTCTTTAACCCATGTAAATTCTCAGCATCCACAAAACAATGTGGCAAGGACTTCACAGTTCTCTCCCTGCTGCAAGAAGGATCATGTCTGTGTGACT